AAATGTATTACCATTTCTACGGAACAAGTCGCCACATGTTCCAACCCCCAACCTGGAGGGCCAGGAGACTGTGTTCGTCAGACCTCTAACCATTGACCAGCCTGGTATGAGAGACTCTGTGAGTGTCGCGGGACACTCTCCAGTATAGCTCAATGGATCGCTGAGGTACGCAAACCGTCACACCACGGTAAGTTCCAGTCTCTTCGTGACGGGGCATGCGAGTAGTGTGCTTTGTTCCTGTAAATTCACTTTGCGTCTCTTGAGAAGGGAGATCTGTTGCTGAATTTGTATGGTCGCTCTGTAGCATTTGCTAGGATTTGATCAACGAATGATTGGAGTCAATGAGTACCCAGGAAAGTTCAAGAAGACGCGTTCAGAAGACAGATGTCCAGTTTTTGTAAATAAGATGCAAATGAGTTTAGCTTACTCGTCAGTTGGCATTTTCTAATAACTCCGCAGCGAAGGTCCTCTTTCTTTCACAGGTAACAGTTGACTAAGCCGTCCGGTCATGATCAGCTGATGAACAGTGTGGTCGACCAGTATTTATGCGCGACATAGCGCCACCCATCGTTCGATCACGGAATTCATATAGTGTGATCACGTGTTAACTGGCACCTGGGCTTTTCGGTGTAGATTGACTTCAATTCTAGATTGAAAAACTTTCACATGCACAACGGATTGCATCGTTTCACGAATTCCATCGTTCTTTGTCAACAACAGACGAAGTTTGATAAACATTTTATTAGATAACTTATGTGCTGGTTATTGTGTATACACAGCCCAGTTCTATAATTTTCTAACACTGCGCTCCCCTCAATTGTTTGGCCAGAGGTAAATTAAAGTCATGAAGGCTAATTTATTTAAAGTAGTTAATTCAAAAATTAGATAAAAGTTACAGGATGTCCCGTTTTCGCCGCGAGAAATGACGTCAAAGTATACAGATAAGTGGAATACTAAGGCAGTTGAAGAACGATTCGTCGGAACGGGTGTGCAAATCCCAACGGGCTTTGGAACAACTTCTGTCTAAGGCCTGCTTCGATCTTTTCAAGCCCGTTACTATGCATCTCTAACTATGTGCATCTGGTCCACCTTAGAAAAGCTTCAGAGTACGCTCAAGTCCGCGTTACCTCTGCACTATTCATAAAAAACTGTACAAATTCTTCTGTCTACCGTTAAAAGCATGATCAAGACGCTCCAATCCGAGCCTTGCGTGGACTGATCTTCGGCTCAGTCGGATTTAACAGACCAACTGTGGCAGTACCAGACAACGCCAATCACTGCATCCATAACAGCACGGAGTCGTCGCATCCGTTTGTCACTCTTGTCGTCCAGTTCGGTTGTATTGCAAGGCCGGCCCACTTATACGAAGACTATTCTGGGTTCAGTTTGAGCCTAGTAATAGGGTTTGGCCGTTGGGTCATGTGGATTGAATATGACTTCGTCTGAGTATGCGAGCAAGGAATTTTCACGTGACCATTGGAAAGGACAACGGCAACCCATTGGGCCAAATTCGGCGTGACTCACCTGCGAACAGGTTTTCCGTCTCGTATTCAGTTTGGCATCTATTCTCAATCAAGCGATTAGTCGATCCTTCAACTGTAGCTTCTGACAGTGAACCTGTTTTGGTTAACCTAACTGAAGCACTTTTGCCGTAAGGGAGTCCAAAATGAGAATCCAGATCACTAGGTATGGCGCAGTATATGGGGCATTCACTATTGTTTCTTTACAGATCTGAGTGATTCAATGTTCTGTGCAAGCCACCCAGGGACAGTACGAACTTTGCTCGAAGTTCCCTGACAAGCTCTACACAACAGATTTAGGGTTAAGACATAGTTGACGAAGTTATCACAAGCTGTGAGCAACTCTAGGATAAAGTGCTAGAATTTTTCATGATGAACGGAAACTACCACCAAGAAACAGCAGCATGCAGAATCTGCTGTGTTTCAATTGCTTGTTGGTCTGTTCGCCGAGCCTGGCAGTCAGGTTGCAGACATTTCGTTACCCGTCGAAAAAAACTATCACTGTGCGCACCATCAGCAGCATGAGCCACAATATTCCCGTATAAATATTTTCGTCAGATCAGTCCCGCATATTAGCGTGATATCTAGTTGTTCGAATTTAGTACCGTCAAATTCGCCTTGTGAGAATCGCAGACAAAGATTTTGACGAAATTCATATGCTAAAGACTTACGGCCCACTCGTTTGCCCAACACACAGAAGCACCACATGCATTGGCCTGAAGCAGCACATTTCCCAGCCATCGTCCAATACTTTATGCTCTTGTAAAGTGCCATCATCCCAGGTTTCCTCCTAAGGCATATATCGTGCCAAGGCTTCGCTGCAAAATATATCAGTGTAGCTGATTGCCCCAATTTGTTCTGGTAACAATGATCTGGGATTCTTCTAACTTCCCGGTTAGTAACTGAACACTACCATTCAGCCTGGAACGACTTTGAAATGACAACGCAGTCAACCTTCAGAACTAAGCAATACCTTGGAAGAGCCATCAAAGACAAAGACAGTAAAGCGCCCCGAAACATCTGCCGAAGCCTCATTTCCCGATAGGCAAAAATCTGCAACAGGAACTCAAGGTCTGGAATCTTTCCAGAACAAAAGTTCAACTGACTTCTGTCAACACTCTGTGCATTGACTTCATTACACAGTACAGCCAAAACTTTCCGAGCATATGTACAACGACGGATTACCAGAACGAAGTCCTGTTGCAAATCAGCTAGAACAATGCAGTTAGGAAAGAGTAAAAAACCCATCGGCGTCTGTGAATAACTGATGGAAACTCACCGCTTCAAGCGAGCGGACGTCTACATACTTCGAAAAATGCGACTTGCTCTGAGCTCATAGATCACGGCTTGACCCAAATGAAGTGGTAGACGGTTTGTCATCAAGGCGCTGTCTATTTCCGACACCATCTTCGCTCCGCTTCCTTGGATGCTGTCGGGCTCGGGAGGCAAGACGGTTTACCAGTACCTGATAATACACCGGCCTGTTACATTCCAGAGCCTTCTGGCTCCACATTGCTTTATTCGGACAAATTATGCCTCAACTGGTGTGTAAACAACTCGAATTACTGGAACCTGCTCCATAGTACGCCGTGACTTATTCAGCAACTCGCAACCTCTCTCCATATCGCAATATACCTACCACTATTCGATATCGAATCCGTCCGCAATCGAGTCGGTTTGCTTAGCACAACTCAGAATTCGAAGTGATTAGCTTAGGAGAACCAAAGTATTTCAGAGCACGGAGGATTTATGAGGGTTGCAGACACGACATATATCACCTCAGTACGCTGCAATGCATCACAGCCCTGTGGAATACGAAGAATAAAACCACAAAGGCTTGAGTTACGGCACAATGTTAGCAACCCATTGATGTATTCAAGACGGGCTAACCTCACCACAGGCGGCTACAAGGACATACTTTGACGAGGACTCTACTAAAGTAACCATATATTGATCGCATCAGGGTGAGAATGCATACACAGATGTTTGGGAAATTTCTCCATGAACGAGGGGCTTAGACCATAACGGGGTGGTATCGCCTGAGAAATTGGTCACAAGATGGGGGATCCAGATTGCAAGTTTAAAAATACACTACACAAAGCGTAGGGTGGCGTGGCAGCGGGATAGAAACGGAAAAGAAAGCCTCGAGAGTTCATTGCGGATCCAGCTGATGCACACTATACAACTGGTGCAAAAAGGGATAACCATATATACACACTTGCCTCGAGCCGGGCGCTCATGTTTGGGACGCATCTATCTATACAATCGCACCCATAAGCTGGCTCAGACAAAGTCACACGACCAAAACAAATAAAAGAGAAAAATAAATAAGTGAGGATAGACACATTATTACATTGCGCGCGTGAATTCCGTGAACTCAGCGGCAACACAAGGCAGCTCGATCAGTTAATGTGAGTGCACCTGAGCACAACCATGAGCGGGATAGCTGGGTGCACCAGACACTGTGAGTGACTTATATAAACCACAGAATTGTGTCAAAATAGAAATCAAATCTGAAGATTACGATCAGGTCCAGTACTGACATTTGGAACGGGTTTCGGGGGAGTGATATAAGATCGACTCCCTGAAGGGTTGTCGAGGGCCTTAGAGACCATATGAGGAAAATGTGTTTGACCACCGCGTGGACGTAAAGGCAACGTGTTCTGTGTGGAGTGTGTGTACTGTAAATGGTGATGATGGTGATTGGTCGCACCTTCGGGTTTGGCATGGGCAACAAGTTGCAGTTTCTGACTAGACACAGGAGGTATAGGACCTTGCTGGACCCTGCGTCGGTAGAATGCGCCTTTGGATTCCATGTACCGCTTAACATACGCAGATACACGGGCGTTGACAGAAGCAGTCAGCTCTGGAATAGGAGCAGACGCGAATAAGGATGAAGAACACGCTGCTTGATCTGAGCGCCACTTTTGTACTTCTTTCATTATGACTGCCTGAGCGAGCTGAAATGGAAGGTAACAGGAAAACTGAGTGCATCTGTGGAAATGAAGATACACAAATGGGGTGAACTGCTTGGGAGACAAATAGACAGCATAAAGATATCAGTGTTTACATACGCATTTAGAACATCCAGAAACTAACTGTTTGACGGAATCATTATCTGTAACTCTTACTGACACACTTGATGGAAGGCTACTGAGGAACATAGCAACCCTTTTCAAAAGGGATTTGTTGTTGTATTTATATGTGTGGTTTCCCACTTAATTCTCGGAGTAAAATCAATGTAACTCGGAGCGTGAATTTATCAGAAATCACATTCGACCGAGAAGAAAGTATTCCTGGTCCATCCATCCATTATTTGAAAGCACTCGGGCATGGTGTGAACGACCTCCTAAAATAGCCTCCAATTCTCTATCGTCTGTAGAATTACCGACAGATTACTTAAATAGACTGACATTATCGTATGCTGATGTTGTGATCACTGAGGACGATTGAAACCGCAATCTTTAGGATAAACCCTCTTGCTACTAAGTCTTAATCATTCTAAATGGAACTGAGCTCTGAGTCGATTCCCGTTGTTGGTGGGCGAAAGGGGATAGACAGCTTATGATGGACACACGTACGTTTAAGCTAGCTAGACCTATTGTTATAGGTACTTGTGAGGATGTGAAAACTGTGCTCACGGCCCCAGCAAGGCGTTTGAAAACGTTATGAAGGAGCAGTTAAGTGCCTATCACCTCCGTAATCACCAAAACCGTTGTCTACTCCTTTGGCTGGTGTTGCGAGACTCGGTTTACAACCCTGAATGTAACTAGCGACTAGTGTCTGCAATCTGTGAAGGGATGTAGTGGAGCGAGTCCAAAATACCAAAATGATCACGTAATATCCGCGACTTCTTTTAGACAGTCACCCATGCCGTTCACCAAGAGGAGACTTTGAAGTGGTCTGGAGGGGTAGTTCACGTAAAGCAAAGTAGCTGCCATTGTGTTGAAATACTGGTGGCACGGGTAGGTCCATTGCTTGTTGACCGGCTGGCTGTTGATCTGTTCACGGAGCATGGCACTCACCTAACCATGCACTGATGACTTCTTCACGTTTAGTGACGAAATGTTCGGAAGTTAATTGCAAAGCTCGGCGAACAGGTCAACAACGAATAGCACATGAGTCCCTTGAGCGAGATCAGGCCACTTAGCAGACTAGGATTTCTTGTCAGTCGGCAACAGCAGTTATCGGGAAATCAGAAAGAACCCTAAGGCGAGGGTCCAGCTGAAAACTGCTTCCAATCACCAATGAAAGTGTCCGGATTTGTCCATACTTCAACCCCATCGACTGCTTCCGGATTTGTCCATACTTCAACCCCATCGGAGTCTGTGCACATTTTTACGAAATTCCAAACAATGCTATTTGAAGCCCACAACATACGTCCAGATTTCTATCAAACAATTCAGGTCAGTGAAAAAATACGCAGTCCGTAGGCCATTAAGCGAATAAAAAGACTACATAATAATTATTTAAGCAAAAGCAAAAAAAGTAGGACAACGATGACGACTTGTAAAGTCGTTTGCAATTAGCGACACGGTGGAAACGTGAATGCTTACCTTGCGTGTGAGGTAGTAAAGGTCCTCGTCGTTGAGAATGCGACCCACCTTGCATCGGGCATCGCGGTAATTCCGAAGGACATCGTGCACAAGAGTAAAGAGCTGCAAACCAAGGGGAAACCAATGCAATTACCAAACGTTGTGGAGGCTATCTTAATCAAATTCGTGGGATCGCAATATATGATTAACTATTCGCAGAGCCATTGTTTTATTGACGCGGCGAACATGGTAGGAACAGTGAGAACAAACGGAGAATAAAAAAGCGTGGACATTGCGAGATCATCACTTACTGCGAGAAATTATATTCAGTCATACTTTTTGAATGTAATCACTACTGCCTTTCGTAAAGCATGATTCGCGGACCAAGCAGGCCATCAGTGCCTCTATGCAATGATGTCCCTTGGGAAGTTACTCTCATAATTACGAAGCAACCGAACAAAAGTCCTTTGCTCAAAGGGTTGCGAAGGTAACTATGGGGAATGGCACTGTCGAAGTCTTGACAATCAAATATTATCCCTAGGGTCACTCGTAATCTTGGGTTGCTCAGTGCAACCAGAAGCAAGCTGATACTGGAGACGAGAATCAAGCACATTCGGTTTCACCTGTTGACACGTTCCCGGTGTTAGGAATAATGAAGTTATATACGAAGCAACTCAGGCCTATCTCTGGATCTCAATGATGTTTTCTTGTGAATCGGTGTCGGAGACCGAAAGCGGAAAAGAAACAGCTACATATTTGTGATTTATAGAGGTCACGGAAACTGTTTAGCGAAACCTTATGCCAAAGCCGCATCATCGTTCGCAATTAGGCGGTAGAACGGACGATAGGCCTTAGTCGCATGTGACTGGCCAGCCCATCGGGCTACTTAGCGGTCTAGAGTCAAGACGAGTTCCGACTGGTCGGAAATGTGGACCTAGCAGCCAATCAAGCCCCACTATCCGCCGAATGCTGGTTGCCACGGCGCCACCAAAAAACACCCAAATTGCTAAAATGTCGCTGTCGACTTTCTTTGGGCATTGTATGCACTTCGTCTACCCTTGGTGGTTCTGCTGCAGAAAACTGTAGCTTTGAAGGATCAGATACAGAATTGAGCTGAGGCTTCATCATTATTACATTCGGTGCCGTTCAAACAGACTATTTGAGCAAGCCCATGAAGGGAGACATGAGAATATCAAGTTATATTGACGAGATAGCGCAGTGTGCTGGGGTTGTCTAGATGTGCGGGCTGACAGTACAGACAGATGTGCACCAGATTTTTGACAGTAAGGCACGTGTGAATATTGAGCATAACACTATCATCCTGAATAAATGGATCGTGTCATAGTAAGGGGATTAAACTGCATCTGCCTGTTACATGCGGTTAAGTAACCTGATTTCCATGAGTCATTCAGTGATTACTACTGTGGCACAAGTGAGACAGTCCCCTGACCAACCAAACAGAGGGCTTTTTGGAGCAGCATACTCAGTTGTGGCTTCTCTGCATCTGAACAGTAGTCTTGAGCTAACCGAGATGCCGTATTTGAAAAGTGAACACAGTAAAGATCTCAAGTATTTTCAGTTAAACTGGCCGGCACAACAATCCCGATTTAACCTCCTGCGTGACTAGTCGTTATTGCTAAAAGTCGCTGTATAGTGATTTTCGACTTTCTTTGGGCATTGTATGCACTTCGTCTACCCTTGGTGGTTCTGCTGCAGAAAACTGTAGCTTTGAAGGATCAGATACAGAATTGAGCTGAGGCTTCATCATTATTACATTCGGTGCCGTTCAAACAGACTATTTGAGCAAGCCCATGAAGGGAGACATGAGAATATCAAGTTATATTGACGAGATAGCGCAGTGTGCTGGGGTTGTCTAGATGTGCGGGCTGACAGTACAGACAGATGTGCACCAGATTTTTGACAGTAAGGCACGTGTGAATATTGAGCATAACACTATCATCCTGAATAAATGGATCGTGTCATAGTAAGGGGATTAAACTGCATCTGCCTGTTACATGCGGTTACGTAACCTGATTTCCATGAGTCATTCAGTGATTACTACTGTGGCACAAGTGAGCCAGTCCCCTGACCAACCAAACAGAGGGCTTTTTGGAGCAGCATACTCAGTTGTGGCTTCTCTGCATCTGAACAGTAGTCTTGAGCTAACCGAGATGCCGTATTTGAAAAGTGAACACAGTAAAGATCTCAAGTATTTTCAGTTAAACCGGCCGGCACAACAATCCCGATTTAACCTCCTGCGTGACTAGTCGTTCATTTTACCTAAGGTGCCCAATGACCGGGACCATATGATGTAAGTTGGTTATGTTTGATGCGACCCTCTGTTAGCCGAGCTTGATCTCTAAACAGAAGTTTAATCTGTCCTTAAGAAGCACAAAACGTAAGTTGTGCAGCTACCAGTAGCCGTGAAGGCGGAGCTTGCGATTTGTTAACCGATTTTAGCTGTCACTAAAGTGATTTCCATGGGAAGCAGCGACATTTGTGCCCACTCGACTTGAATCGCAGGATACTGATGAGGAGTTACCCTCCATGTCAGTCTGTCTGGTGGCCTGTTTTGTTTAATTCTCCGAAAAAAACAGATCATGCGAACTCTGCGACTCCACTTTACGGATTCACAATCTACGAGAGTAATCAATAAAAGCTGCCATAAACAGGGAATCTCACAATACAATGCCGGTAAACCGCTACCGGCGTGAGCATCATGACCGCGAATTCGGCGTCGGTAGAGAGGGATCGGTTGACTCGACTGTATGTCCACATCAAACGACGCCCATCACAAAATATGCCTTGACTTTCGCTTACGTCGGTAAACCATACTGGCCTATATGATTGAAGTATATGTTGTGATGCAGGTCAGTCCATTTTTAACCCACTGATTGATCGAACCAGTGTACTAACTTGTGATCCCGCTCGTTAGAACCCGGCCTATTGGGGGCGCTGTTGACGCAAACAAGAGACGACATTTTGTCGTTGGAATGTGGCAGCATAGGAGAAGTAAACGGAAGCCACATGTGATGTTGTAATGGTTCGCCGTGCAAGGACAACTGGCTTTGTAGCTCTAAAGTTCAACATTCGACTAACGGACTCATGAAAAGTTGGAATAGTCACACTGCTAGCTCAGATCACCGCTACTACGACAACCCAAGTCGATAAGCCAATTTCAGCTAACTGCCCAACAGCATTATGATACCGTTTGGTCCGTTTGTCTGCTCGAGATAAGCGCATCTTAAACATAGGGCGGTTCAGTGTAATAGACAGCAGTACTCCGACAAACCGAAGCAGTGAATCGAGTGAATGACAGCAGCTTTCTTGGCCAGCTCGTAAAACCCGTAAGAATGCCATTGAGATTATCAACACTGCGACTCGAAGGTTGGTAAGCAAAATCGGACAGTTGCGGCGGCTGACAGAACAGCTCTCACACGATACGCAGCTCTCATCATCGTCAGTAAATGAAAAATGGAGGCATTCTAGAAAACCCAAAGGCGGTGGATCCCAAGTAATATTGCCCATTTGACTGATGGTTGTCATGCTCATTATCATCACCATCACTAGTGACAGCAACACCACTGGTGTTTTAAAGCCGTACAAACATGTCAATTTATTTGAGATCCCTATAATGGAAAGAAGAAAAATTAGACAAGGAAGGGACCTAGGGAAAGGCCACCACAAACATCCAAGAAGCATACAATCCAACACTGGGTTACACAGTCTGGGTAGGAACCTATAGCATGAACGCAAACGACGCCACGGTTGGCTACCACATCGTTGTCTCCAGCGAAGGCCGACACGCATACGAACCTGAGAAACCGTTGCACTTTTACTTAATATTACTGTATTATAACGTTGTATTATATCACAATGAAATCTAACATTATAATATGGTATTGTAGTGTGGCTCTTCAGCGATGCACCACACACGAGTTTATAGGGAGATTCGGACTCTTCTGATTAGTAGCTGAACACTACACAATGGTATTCCATGTGGGTGATCATCAGTGCGACTCATCGGCACTGTGAGGAGGCAGCGCCACTGTCCTTCAACCATCATGCCATGTCAAATTATCCTGTGTTGAGTTCCACAACTTGTCGATGACCTACGCACTCATTTTCACTAAATCTGGAAAATTCCCTCACAAAGGATGATAAAAACCAACCTCTATGGCAAAACCTTGTTCAACTGCACCCTTCGGAGCGTCTGGTTTATCAGCAAGCTCGTGCAGCAACTCCGTGCACTGCCGTTCCAGGATTCGTTGCCGAAGCCGGTTGTACATCTAAAACGACAAAAATAATAAACGGAGTTGGGCGTGTTGCGGACAAATTGACTCCAAAAATGTACGCTAGATTGGATAATATAAGTAGAGAATTCGGGAGGTGGAGCACTCTCCATCCCGTGGCAACGCAATTCTTAGGGCACACAATTAGGTGGCCATCCATGTAGAGAAAAATCTTGATCATGGTCAGCATAGATCCAAGCCAGCCAGGGCCAACACAATCCATAAAGTTAGTAACGGTTTTATGAATTTTGCTGAAGTTGATGGTGACGATACAGATGAACTCCCTTTAGATTCGACGAGCTTCGTTCCTGGATAGTATTGATGATTTTGACTGCGGAAAATGAACGTAAAAGAGTTGGCGAACAATTATGCTTTGACTGTTTTGAATTTATTTGGTTCTTTACTACCTAGCTCCATTCGGTTCATGTTTACGTTCGTGGGTCTTGTATGTGTACCTTAATTCAAGGGAAGCCAAACAAGCTTCAGTGTTTCTATCGCTCACTTCAGGTCGTTTTTGGAAATGTTTGACGACCTGAATATCTTTCGAACTTGGTTGAATTACTGATGCCATTGAAACCACACTATTGGATAAACATTCACATTGTGAATGTATCAAATCCATAGAGCCCAACTTCAGATAAGCAATCACAATGACTCTAGACATGTGGGTATATCATACCGCTCTACGTGCTCAAAAGCAGTAGGTGATTCGACTTGAAAAAGGCTACTCGGGAGTAGATCCACGTGCGTGTGGTCACCGTTGGTCAGCCGACTTCGTAGGTGAAACGAAATACTAAGCCGCGAGAAACATTAGCCCGCGAGTACGCGAATGGGTGGGTACCATCGGTATGCCGATTCCAAAGGTCACCTACGTTACTCTGCAACTGCCATACAAACGGACGGCAAAAAGGCCAAAGTTGCGTTCTGGCTGTTGAAGTAAAGTGCGCCTCTGATAATTACAACAATTCGCCATAAACTATGGAAACTGTGTAAAAGAAGCTGATATCAAATGAGATCCCTTGTGAGTGCTCTTGGAGGGCTGACTTTAGTCAGCATGACCTTTTGTGAATCATGGAACGGCGGGTACGTGAAAGCCTCCCAGTAAAAGACGGATCACTGATCGAGAAGAGCGGGAACGTTCTGTCGTGGTGCGTCTGACTCGCTGTGCATCTTTCAGGGAAACAGCCATTACTACACAAGGCATCACAAATCCGTCTTAGATATATCGTCCGCAAAAAACGCACGTGGCGAGAGCAAGGCCCACACTACTGTGCGTAAAGCTCACGAATGGGGGTACGCTGTCACACAGGTTCCGGCGTAGAGTTTGTTGGACTGTTACCTAATTAATGCACATGGCGACGGAGATAAGCAGGACTGTGTGGTGGTTACTTACGTTGCTAGATTTGATGGTCTATACAACGGTTGCGCAAGCCTGAGGTAACCTGGTGTGATAAACGCGAGAATGCATAATCCCACTAATAAGTGACGTCCTCCTGGTAACCCGTGCTTATAGTTGAGGAATACTAACAACAGACAAAACAGACTGGCAGTTCGAAATAGGAGGATTTCCTACTTATCTGCGATCATCATTAGGAAATTTCTACCTCCGTTATTCTGTTGCAGCCATCCCAAATGAACCAACTGGCGACGGAATAAGCAGGACTGTGTGGTGGTTACTTACGTTGCTAGATTTGATGGTCTATACAACGGTTGCGCAAGCCTGAGGTAACCTGGTGTGATAAACGCGAGAATGCATAATCCCACTAATAAGTGACGTCCTCCTGGTAACCCGTGCTTATAGTTGAGGAATACTAACAACAGACAAAACAGACTGGCAGTTCGAAATAGGAGGATTTCCTACTTATCTGCGATCATCATTAGGAAATTTCTACCTCCGTTATTCTGTTGCAGCCATCCCAAATGAACCAACAAAATTAATTCTTTGAAATGTCTTTCCCGTTTTTAGGGCCCCAGTAATTCACTGTTTCAATTTACTAGTTTTCGAACGTTCTTATTGCACTATGAACGAATATGGAGCGATACAATTTAACAGATACCCTATGCGTCACAGCATGACTCCCTCATGACTGTTGTCTGAACAATCTGCTGGTTGCTGCATTGAAAATCTCACGGATAAATCATGTCATCCGTTTGAACATGTCAACGACAGTCCACCGAAAAGCCTGAACTTTTTTTCACTCAGCGTCAAAACTCATAGATGGGTACGTACGCCGCACCTCTGGGGGAATTCGTTGACCATGTGTTGTATTATCCTGCCGTCTGCATCAGCATTTGACGGCAAAGGAGAAAATTCAGAGCAACTCCACTATTTGCAACTGACATATCAGCAACCAGAATTTGATGCATCCACTGAATTATGCATTATTTCTATTGCAGAGTAACTCATCTAGTCATGACTTCTTTCTATTTGCAACCAAACATCAGGGTTGTTTGCCCACTAGCAACATAAGATAGGTACTGCGTTAAACGGGCGGAGAGAAAAAAACCGGGACAATGATAAATGGTGTCGGAGACAGGTTGGACTACCGGAAATCAGATTGCGCCTACCATTTCAAGCACATGTTGCGCATTATTAATATCACTGCACCACTCCTATCTGGATCCCATCAAATAGATAACCATCACATCTTAGCAGTGCAGAACATAACTTAAACTTTCATCAACGGTAACCCAGTACCACACGAAACCTTCAAAGATATGGAAATGACGGAACCTTTGTCAGGCTAGTTAATTAATATCGCCCACCATAAAAACTCACGTTGTTTCACATATCCTAAAGACCGTTTCAGTTTCGAGACATTTCCATGTGAACTTAGGTTCGACATAGCTGGCATATTCATCGATTTCTCTGTCAAACTCCCCCTCCCCAGGAATATGGGATACAAATGACACTTCCATAAGCAAATTACTGTGTTCATTAGTCAGTTATAGGTCCAGTTAACACATTACTGATGTGTTCATTTCCACTAGCTCCAAAGTGCAACCAAAATACGCAATCGTCTGTTGAAGCGCAGCGTTCTATGGCTGACACAAGCTGAAACTAGGTAATTTACACCGAAAATATACTGCGATATCTAAAATATCGAGCCAACTAGGACAGGAGATGGTCTGTGTACAGCACATTCAGTCCTAGAATATCATAAACGAGAGATTCAGTTGAGTCTCTCGTGAAAAACAAATTGATTTGCGAATGAGTGTATTTCTTGAAAACAGTCCGATTTGAGTTCAAGTAGAACATAAGGTTGACGGAAACTCGGGGACTGCGCCTTTTTGATGAGCCCCTAGAAGGCGAAACCGGTCGTGGGCTGTCGAAGAGTTTTCAGCAACCTTGTGAGTAGTCACATTCTACATTGTTTATGGCAGTCTCTAACAACAAGGTGTCCTACAGCTCAAGCTTCCAAAAAAGATGTAGAGGGAAAGCGAATCACCGACACCAATAAATGATCGGAGAGATCGCACAGGTTAATAGAAGTTTAGCTGCGTCTAATTAGCCAAATGTCCTCTGAGCTTTTGCTCCTAAAAGCATCCAGTTCAACGCTACCCGTCAGCAGAGGGCATCCACTGAGAAAAAAGCCGCACACTGGGCAGCCATCACGAGATTCAACATTCCAAGCGGTAATCTCTAGGATGGAAATGGATAATTCAAAGGACTCATAACGAAACAAGACCCAATTCCGTCTGGTTCAGTAGGTTGCACAGTGGATTCAGCCTTCGTACATCCACTAAAGTAGCACGTAGAGCTTGCGTCCAAAGAGATGTCGCATCGGTCTGTTGACGGTATCTCACCAAACACAATGCACATCTATCTGTAGTCCAACGTTGTTCAAGGGTACGTGCACCGCGGTACAAGGCTTTGTTGTACAAAGCCCTCGCTATCCTCCCATTTTAGACTATCTATCAGGGCGTTCTTCGCTCATGGCTGAATGGCAGTGGGGCACCATTACTTAATACTGGCATGATGTCAGTGATGCTCAAGATCACGATGACAGCATTCACTAATTGCCTGCTATTGCGACACAGTAGTTCATACACTGTGAAGGAGCCGTTTCAACTTCATTTACGTCTAAGCAGAGTAGGAAAAGTCGTAATTTTGTTGGTTGACTTATATATTATTTGACAAAAATTGACGGCCCGTCAATATGGGTGAAGTAGTCACAAGGTTTCGTCCCATTTTATTCTGGGAATCATGACAAAGCCTACGCGATACCATCTCATTTTACTGTGAACGGATGGAGTCGAAAACTCAAAGTGCATTGACTTCCGATAACGAGACATTATAGTAAACGTCGAACCCACTAGGTCCGCGGTTCGAATCCGACCTCTACCTCTCGACTTCCCCTGTCTAGGCTTGGGCAACCTGGAATTACCCCAGCTCCCGTGCTTCCGTCTGGTGGCATGGCAGTAAAGCGCTGAAAGAGTGTTACAGCTGAACGAACTACAGTCAAGTTAATCAAGCTCATTGCGTTCGTTACTACCAGTTCTATTTCTCCTCAAGGAGCGCAGCTTTTCTATGTCACTCAAGTGCGATGGCCAGCTATTCGCTGCAAACTTCAGGTGTGAAGCACACGCTACATTTCCCCGAGAGGTTTCTCCTAGTAAGGATGCATAATAAGTTTGGATTCCAATCGAGAACTGCTGTAGTACAATAAATTGGCATTCCAGTCACGTAGTTCACAAATTGAGGACAGTGATTAGGAAGCATAGATATTAATTGAACAGCAGGAAATAACGCCAGTAAGATCATATGTATTGAGGCCATGTGAAGCTCCCGTCCTAACTCATGAGTGCACTATGACAGAAATGCTCTCGAATGCGTAAGACCTGAGAAAACATTCGACCATTTGATACCCGATGCCTGCTGACCTTTCGTCAAAGCCTAAGAGTAGCTCGACATGATCCACAGTGGAGTGATTTGCCTTTGAAAAGGAGCTCTTCACAAATATAAAGAAGACGAACAAAACCGCATTCTAATACAGCAACGTTAATCAAGGTCACACACTGGGTCCGAATGCTTGTATACATTTAGTTTGGGTAAGTTGATTGACATTTCGGATTCAACTGAGTAATCAAATAAACTCGACGCAGATATACCAATGCTCTTCGCTCACCGGCCTCCCATTGTACAATACCGACGTTCTAGACATATAGACGGTTGAGGAGAGCAGATTGGCTATGGTGGAGATGCCAACCATTCAAATTGCCACAAGCGAAGCTGCATTCGGACACTTCAAGCGGATC